GTATTCCAAAGGTCGTAGGTTCGATTCCCACCGTGGCCGGGCATATTTTTCAAGCTCGCCCGGTGTGGATATACACTCAGAGTAACATCACAAACATTATATTCATCTGAGTACACAACACCAACACAGAAAATATCATATTACTAGATTACATTGGTATCGAAGGAACTAGATTGTGTTCTGAAATATCACTTACTCGAACCGTCCTGACCGCGTAGCTCAGTTGGCAGAGCATTGGGCTAGTATTCCAAAGGTCGTAGGTTCGATTCCCACCGTGGCCGGGCATATTTTTCAAGCTCGCCCGGTGTGGATATACACAAAGAGTAACACTACAAACATGATACTAACAAAGTCAAACGTTGTTTATTTATTCTACACAAGATTAATTTATACTAGCTTTGATAACATGACTAATTCAGTTATATATAGTAAAGCTGACAATTGTTTACTCTGATGATAAGTGCATGAAATCGGTTTCCACATACTAAACTAGAGGGCTCTCCAAGACTGCATACCTCGATTTGTCAGCGAATTAAGTTACGTATCATGCATAAATTATGCATGATAGGCTAATTTACGCATTCAGTTTAGTCTGCCCGGCAACCAAAAACAAATTGTTGCTAATTTCTTATCCAAATTGTCATCCATAATTAACCGAAATTGAATCAATTTGTCCTTTGTCAAGCAGTCCCACAAATTCTCGTATTAATACGTTATATTTTTTAAGTTATCCTGCTGTAGCCAGACAGGACGCATATACAAACCTCGATCCCGGCGGAGATAACTAGTATTCTTTGATAATATTGATATTCTTTGATAAAAAAATGTATGAACGTAATGACTAAATATTCTTATATAGACCCGTTGCATATGACGTCACAGCGCCGGTGACGATGCATCTGGAGGACAAATTAGCAATCTATGCATAATATAACTTTTGTAAACAAAGCAAATTTTGTAAAACTTTATAATAATTTTGTGTTAAAATGGTTAATTTTTGCGGTGTATGTGGTTGTTGTACCCGAACAGATATTGTTAGGGAGCATCTGGAGGACACTCTAAGGATTTGTGACGTCATTGCAATGGGTCTATAGTATCGCAAGAAAATCAAAATAAACTACACTGCATTTTTCTGCATGACAAAGATGTAAGATTTTCGATATTGCTTACTATATTTGAACCGTTTCACATTGCATGAGGGTTGATAATATATTGATCCTTCATGTCGGAAGGCAGCTTTTCGAAATAGCACAATAAATAAAATCATAAGATAATTTAATTTAACAAATATAAAACATTTTCTGTGTTGATATATAGTTATATAAACACGAGTGGAAATTGGGAAAACGAGAAATTGTGCATGTGGAAACTCGAAGGGCGGAGTATTTTCACACAATTTCGAGTTTTCCCAATTTCCACGAGTGTTGATATGACTGTATATCAATACGGAAAAATGTTTTATATTTTTTTATAAGATAGCGTGACAAGGAAATATAAAGAAAGAAATTTTCCGTGTTAACATTGAGTTATATCAACACGGCTCTTAGCCAATCAGCGTTCAGAATGTACAAATGCTATATTATAATATACTATATAAACTATGTATGCATGATATTGTGTATAGATCCGTATTGAAATCCGTGTCCTCGTGATGTGCGCGATAAGAATATTTTTAATTTAAGTACATCCTATGATTTTTCGCTTTTCTCTAAACGTTGCGTGCACTTGACTTGAGTTTTCTATCATATGCAAGCTGTTTGCAGGTTTTGTGACTAATTTGTCGATGGTTTAATCATTGTTATGAATAAATAATAACTATATATAGCACGTATACGTAGAGAGTGGTCCTCATTAAGTACTTCAACAGCCAAAGGAAGGAGTATCTTAATTTGTGTCAGAATCGTTTAAAAGATGGAAATTTTGTGGTTTTTTCTTGTTCTCTTCAGTTGCGGAGTTTGCCTTGGACAAGATGGTGAGTAGAGAAAAATTAAACTTTTTTTCATTTGAATATATACTCATAATAAAAATTTCAAATCGTGTTTCCCTCGAATTTATATATAGATTGCGTAGATATTTCGATATTTCTTGTTGCTGTAAATTTCAATGTTCCGCGCTATTCTAATAACTCAAAGGAAAAAAAAATTTTACATGCAGTTCATATATATTTATACTTATTTTATCAATTTTTTTTTCAAAACTTGTGCATGTTGCGCCAGTCTTATACGGTACTAAGCTTGTCCGCTGTTATAGTCTTCCCATTTAACTTCATAAAATTTATTATCATGTTCACGAAAGGGAAAAGCAACAGCCAGTAATAGCCCATTTATGTTTTTACACATGCATACAGATGTCCCTAATATTGCTTACTATACTGATCTCCTCTTGCACCATATTTAGTAATATTTGTTTAATAATGAAGGCAACATGAAGTTCATTATTCCCTTTATTATTTTTACCCCCATTCCCATTTTATAAGTTGCGTTTTCTTGGCTTTTAAAGCCGCGGCTATGCACGGTAAGCCTTTTGACATAATTTGCCTTGCATGTCGATATAGACAACTTAGGCCTTGACTTCTGTACAACAATTTCCTGCAACAAACCGCCACTCGCTAAATTGAATTAATGAACTCCAGTTTAATTCTTTTATCATAAGACCACGTTAAGCAAGAGAGCTGTAAAGTAACTTCGGCATCGTATATATTATGGAAAAGGTTGCCACATATATTATGAAAGGTTGCCACAACAACCTGTTTCATCCAAGAAAAATCATTCCTCTTGGATGAAACAGGCTTTTGTGGCAACCTTTTGAGGTAAAACGACTATTTCTGCTCTATATGAAATCGAGCACTCTTTGGCATTTCGTTAACCACCTTTCATATATATATATATATATATATATATATATATATATATATATATATATATATATATATATATATATATATATATATATATATATATATATATATATATATATAATATAATATATATATATATATATATATATATATATATATATATATATATATATATATATATATATATATATATATATATATATATATATATATATATATATATATATATATTATATATATATATATATATATATATTATTCAAATGTGGAGGCTAGAATATAAAAGACGTGGACAGTTTAACTTATTTCGTTTTTGCCGAAGGGTCATTGCCCCGAAACGTACAATGTATTAGTTTTTAATATATAACAAACAAAGCCATCAAGATAAGAGGTTTAAGTCAGTCACATACGACAAATGAATTCAAAAGTGTGACCCATGCAAATAAAAACAGAATTAGCGTCACAATTTTTGACGTGTATAACCGTACATGAAGCATGAAGCATTTGACCTAATTGGTCAACCCAATTTAAGACTTGCAGGTGATACGCTCATACATGTTGACACAAGTTGCTCAATAGAAGAAATAATGATAGGAAAATGCTAATTTTTACCACTGGGTAATATAAGTGAAAGAGCTAGGTATATATAAAAATGTATATTTTTAATTTAAAGCGAATTTAAAGCCGCGCTGAAACTAATTGTTATTTGAGCAATGTTTTGGATATTCAAATGATGATTGAACAGTTGAATGCTTGGACATCCATATTCTAATTCTGTCTCAGCTATACATGTTATAGTTCACCTGCAATGGACCTTTCCCCTTATGAGTGAAATTTTGATCTAGACAAAAATTTCATCAGAGCTTGAAAGAGCATCACAAAATTAGTAATATTCCAAAGTTTCGTTGCGAAATGTTGTAAAATGCGGATAATATAGCCATGCGAAGTTTGCCATTTTTCAGTCATTTTGTATTACAAACGGGAAATTGATGCCCCAACACCCGATTGGGCTGTCAATTTCCCGCTCGTATAAATACAAAATGACTGAAAAACGGCAAATTTCGCAAGGCTATATTATCCGCATTTTACAACATTTCGCAACGAAACTTTGGAATATTACTAATTTTGTGATGCTCTTTCAAGCTGTGATGAAATTTTTGTCTAGATCAAAATTTTAGTTATAAGGGGAAAGGTCCATTTATCCCAACGCAGAACCCGTCATTTGCATGGAAGCGCATGCAGTGAAAACAGGGGCACAACTCCTGGGAGTGTGGGGAGGGGATTCGACCTTCCCCAATGTTGTAATATTGCAGTTTTGTCGGGCAATTTTAACGACACGCTCGTCGAGCACAAAAATATGTACCTCAACAAAAAAATTTACATAATTTCTTGAAAATTAATAAATGAGTGAAAAATGGCATGTTCGAAAATTTTTAACTCCACCGCGCCCCAACCCCTCAATTTTGGGAAAAGAAATATTAATTAGCGCCTGAAATGTCCGTCGGGAACGACTTCCGCCACGCCCTTTTGGTCGGGCAAAACAAGCCCACACCCCCAACTGTAATACCCAAGTTACGGCCCTGAGTAAAAACTCATGCCCGCGTTCAATCCGATAATATCTACTTACGTTTTTATATCATATTTCTGTTCTTTATGTAACGAATACTTTTTTATGTATATAACAAGTTCTTTATATAACAAATTTGTCAAAAATACAACAACCTTTCGTGCATGCTGATGCAAATGATTACCTTATTCGTACGTAATTTCGCGATTATAAAAAAAAACGTTCTGATTCCCCTACTAAACATGACAGTTTTCTTTTTTCAAAGGTGTTGCTACAAATGACATTGAAGTTGCCATAACTATTGACAACAAAGGACTTTTGAAGACTGACACTTTTGAAACGGAAATTAATGGCAATTGGAAGGTAGCAGACCGTTTTACCTTACCATGGAACACGAAATATGTCACAATTAAAGCTGACAATCTAGGTGGCCCGGGTGGAATTCTTGCATCTTTTAACAATAACGTAATCACAAATTGTTCATGGGAATGTGCAAACATGCACGGGTGTCACTCAACAAATTGTGAGAATCATACAAATTGGCACTCGGCCATCGAATATGGTCCCAATAGTGCAAGTACTAAGCCATGGGGAGGAATATTGAGAAGTAAAATATCTGAAATTGCAGAAACAGCCCAATGGATATGGGTGAACGACACAAGTGCTTCAATAGTGTGGTGCAGAAAGACATTCAGTAAGTTAAATAAGACGGCATGTTAATGACAACATCACGGCAAAACCTGTAATCTGCGACGTTGTGCACATGTCCTGTCTTCTGATTACGGTAATATAGGGCAATCAGTATACGAGCGAAAATATAAAGTCGTAGCTTAAATAAGTGGCGAACTTACCTTCTCCGCAGGCACTTAGGTGGCGAACGACTCGTATGAACCGTCAATGTGCAAAAAGCTCTGGCTTAGTAGGCCTGCTGTCAATCTTGGGCCTGTTGCCACATTGCATTTTTCAGCATGAGCTCCACCTTTGAATTGAATATATGAGTAAATTCTTAAACACGTCCGAATTTATCATTATGATAAATTCGCGGCACATTTTGAATTTATCATAATAATAAATTCGCGGCACCTAACACTAACCCTAACCCTAACTCCAACCCTAACCACTAAACCCTAACCCCTAACCACTAACCACTAACCCTCATTTTTTTAACTTTTTAAATTTTTTTAACTTTTTTAAAAATCTAACTTTTTAAATTTTTTTCTTTTCAAAATTCTTTTAGAACTTTTTAAAACATTTTTTAAAAACTATTTTTTTAGAAATCCTTGGAAATTCCAGGATGGGAGGAATTTTTTCACTTGGAAATTCCAGGCAAGGGGGGATGTCATCTTCCAAATGGCTCAGAAATTCCAAGGGAGGGGGTAAAAATATTGCATTTCCAGGGGGCAGTTTTCAAAAATTGCTTGGAAATTCCAAAGGACCCCCATGAAAAACCTTGTTTCTGGAAATTCCAGGGGAGGGTCTAAAATTTTGTATTTGGAAGGTCCTCCCCCGCCCCGTGTACGGATTAAAAATGCAATGTGCCATTATAACTACAGCTTGCGTACAAATTGACTGTTCGTACACTAATTGACAAATTGTCGCTTGGGCCCAGTGCAACACGCGATGCTCTTCATTGTACTAAAATATAAAACAACGGTAACTCCGAAAATAAACATTTTAATATTCTAGCTTTCAACTAAGATTCAGTCATCATCTGGAATGATGCTAGGTTACATTACATCGATATATTATATAGTGAAGAATAGGTAATTGCTGCCGCAGCGAGAGAGCATTAAGCGAACGAGCAAGGCAGCAGACTAAAATCGTACAGCTACTCAAAATCTCAATCTTGCTAGAGCCGCAAAGCATGTTGGTTGAAAGTCATTTTACCAACATGCAACGCGCGGCTATATGAACGAACTCCATTTAAGCACGTGTTCTCTTTTTCTCGAGAGTTCAGAGTGGACAAACAAAGTTTAGTAACTCAACAAGGGTACCGCATGCGTATGGATTGCTGCGGGAATTAAGAGCAAATAGAACTATATAGTACAAATTACTGATAAAGCACAATTATTACTCGCAGCGAGCCAACTGAGCCGAAAGTGATCCATTTGTTGCTAAAGGGCAATCACTGGTGACAGATGATATTAAACATGTGCGTCTCATTGAACACTTGCGTGTGGACTTCAACCTCGTTCCCAGTCGAGGTTGGTGAATGTTTTATGTTTATGGAAGTAATATTCACAAAAGCATAAGCAAGAATATATCAAGTGGAATCTGTTGAATTACGCGCTGCTTTTATAGTACGTGTACAACTAGGAGTTACTGTCGCAAGGAAATTGCTGCCTCGATTGGCACATGTTAGCAAGGAAACAACTTAATTTACAGTGAAACGGATATGTAAAATCACTTTAATTGATATGGACTTTCAATACACCATGTCCATGATCAAAATATCAACAAAACACAAATATCAACAAAACATTTAATAGTTATTGTGGCCACAATAGATTTTTCTTAAAATGTCAATATCATACAGTATATTATTATATAATAAAATACTATATTTTAATTTCAAACGTCGTGCTTCTCATGTGCCGAAACATTTATAGAAACAATAGATCAGCTGATTATCTATTGTTTTTAATGCGTTCGGCCATGAGAAGCGATCGGCCTAAAATGTTTTTAAAGGCTGTTAAAGAACCCCAGTAAACTATTAAAGGCACACCGTTTACCTCTAGACTTAACATCAAAACAGTCATCGCCTTGATTAATGTTCCCTCGGATAACAATTGCCATAATTTGTAGATTGCTTCAGCGTCAGGTTGTGTATTTGAAGTATATGAAAGAAACACATGTGCATCTTCCTGTCACTATACTTCTTGTGCGCCAGGCAAGCGTAATTAATTTTCGTAACCCCCCTGAATTGCTGACATACAAACACAAAAGATCGAGATTCAAGCTGGTCTACTAAACTCGGCGCGCGGAGACTGGTACCGTCAAGAATAGGCTCGGCAGCAAATACAAATGACAAATACTATCGGATTTCATATTAAGTCTAATACTGCTATATTTCGCTATATTTTAGATAGTATTTTAATACGTTTCGCAGTTTAGGCTACACTTCAAATTTTGTATTTGTATATTTCATATATGCGATAACACATCTTTGATTTGCACTCACTATAGACAGTATTTTAAAACGTTTTTGGCGTGTGCTTCTTAAAGGCAGCATTTACTACATTTTAGGTAACCTAGTTTGATACGTACAGAAAAGATTAGTTAAATACTAGAAGTTACTATCGCAAGGAAAGTGCTGCCTCACCCCCAAGGGATTAAAGGTAGAATGCACAATTTGCTGAATAAGGGGCTGTTTATACGATCCCGCTTTGCCATTACTCTCATCAGTCTCATGATGTTTTTATATCATTATATCAAACTAAAACCACCCCAAAATAGATAAAGAATACATAAAGGAAACTAAGTAAGTTAAATTTAAAATAAATTTTTAATGCAAAATATAATAAAATTAAAAAATAAATAAATACCCACACAGAGCTTGGGCCACCTGTGGTTTTATATGAATACCTTCAATGCTTATAACTTCTTGCTTTTGTATGTATAATTATAATTCTGTCAGTGGAGAAAGCTAGCCATAGCAACAAGTCATGCTATGCAAGTTTGCAGTGAGCGAGTTTATCAAGTGATTTGTATCAATGAAATAGATGCAGGTTTATCAGCATATAATAGGCATAGCATGACCAGTTGCCATGACTAGCTTGTCACTGAATACTGTACAATAATAATATCATATATTTATATATATACATAAACAATAATAATACTTGAATGAATCATTGGACATGTATATTTTAATAACAATTTCATGAATAGAAATACTATAATACAAATTAACGACCGCTATCACAGAACAACTGACATTTTTGTTTAATTTAATACATCAGCTTCAGATTCATTTGTAATGATTGAGATTGTACTCAGCCAGAACTTCAAAACTGTACAATAAGAAAGAAATTGTGAGCATTATCGAAAAAAATATAGTATACCCTGAAATATAGTGACACAGCCAGGTGAATACATAAATGTATTACAGTAGGATTATTTCATATTAATGTTGACAATGGACATATCTCAGAGATATATTTTTATACAGACTGTCATACCTTGTACAAAAGTCGGTCAACATGCTATTACATGTAACTGCTGGTAAGTTAATATGTGCAGACAACCATGGGCGGATTTACTGGGGGGTTAGTTGGGGTTAACCCCCCCCCCCCCCTATAATCTCCCTAACCCTTGCAGACAACAATAATATTAAGCCTGAATGCCTGATTATTAAGCCCTGCTACACTACATAGTACAATCCACGTTTGTTTTTAAAACATGCTAAAAGCACATAATGCACATTGCTATAAACATGTAGAATAAACACTATAAACTCATCGCCTTTGGACATCACCACACAAACAAATACTGGTAAACTAAAAGTAGATTTTGACTACTTGTATGTAAATTGTTTAACTATGAAGACGTCGACAGTTCTGATGAAATTCATGATAAATTCATGCTGAATCTAAATTCATGAAGTCACAGTGTTCTAAATATAACTGCCTTCATGTATATTAAATACCAAAAAGAAATAAAGCTATCTTTACCTGTCCTTACCTGTCTTACCTGAATTATTGAAAATATTGTCCATGTTTTGCATCATGATTCATGAAAATGTAAATAAGCGCGTATTAAACTGTCTGTGAGGAGAACTTGATCCGTGTGCAATACAAAATAAAGTTTGACCGCCCCCCTCGTTTAAAAAAAACTTCCTGAAGCCTTAATTATTTCCCCGGAATTACGACATCTTTACAGACAGACAGACACAAAATCGAGATCTCGACAATACATAACTCGGGCAAAGAGACTGGACACAAGTAAACGCGATACTTCATGTTAAGAATAGTGTGCTGCCTTCGGCAGCAATTATAACTATAAGTTCTTTTGATGCCTTAGTTCCATGATTACTGAAGTTCAGGTTTATGGCGAGTGCTTCTTTAAATAGCATTCAAACACTCATTAATAATTCATAAGCTTATTGGCAAATCATGTCAACCATAATATGTCACGTATTCTTTATATAAAGAATACTAATCAGGCAGTATCTATTACAGTCGTGTCCTCATTAATAGGATTCTTTATATAAAGAATACTAATAAGGCAGTATATCTTTTGAATTTGTAGTCGTGTTTGAAGCCGTTTAATAAACTCGCAGGTCGTGTTTTATTAGGTTTAAAGCCACTCGCGCTCGTGTCTTTAAACCTAATAAAACACTCCTGCTCGTTTATTAAACAGTACTTAATTAAGGACCAATGATCAGATCTGTCTAACTAAATCTTAGAGTTTGTAATTATAAATTCTGAAAGTATACCGCAAGTTTGAGTTGGGTTAGTCTTCGTCAGGATACAGTTCTAAAATGGATTTGATATGTTGAAAGTCATGTTCGCATGATGTGATGTGGTTAAAAACTTCAGATTTATTGTCCGAGGATTTGGGGCATCTCACTCGATCAGGGGCGAAACTTGAGGGGGGGGTGGGGGGGGGGGAGTGACACCCCAAAGTACAAATCATTAATTTATTGGTTTATGTCCGGAAAAACTTTTTCGCCCCTTTTTTTGAATGTCCGGA